GATCATTCGTAAGAGATTTAATCTTAACATCTAAAAACTCTTTCTAAACCCTTAATTCATTCAAACATCTAGTTGAGTCCTCAAGTTTGGCTATAAGGCTATCTTTTTCTAATTCAAGTGCATTAACCTTTTTAAGCACGACTTTATTCTCGTTCTTAATTTTAAGACTCTCCTTAAATACTTGTTCATAAACCTCCTGAAATTCCTTATCACACCCAAATCTGAATCATAAACCGATTGACTCATCTAGACAAAATTTTGAGTCAAGGATCACTATTAGACTCTGATACCACTTGTTAGTTACTAGTTCAACCCTAATGCGGAATTAAAATTAACAATTTATAAGCAACAAGTCACTTTTAATTATTTCTAAATGGTTAGTCAATCAATTCAATTTTCCAATTATTTGAATGTCGCAGTTATATATAGAAAACAGTAAATAACACAAAATATGATGACGGAGAAAACCCTTAACTTGGTAAAAACTTTGGAACCAAGCCAATAGTTTCCACTATAGACAATGTGAACTTACAGTATGATCAAGCCTAGAAAATTCACTAGACTCGTTCTAATTCTTACAATTTCCAAGATCCACTGGAATATGCTTCACTTACACATACTCCTGATCTTTGGTATTGTCTATCTTATATAGACCACCAAGAACGTCTTGTTCTTGTACTATTTCTGTGTTTGCTGTCCAACCTCCCTCAATCTTAGGGAACTTTGAAAATTATTGAGAAAGTACGAATATGAATTTAGGAAATGGGTGTTTTGGATTCTTCAATTTGATGTTTTTCCAAAGAATGAAAATGATAAATCACAAAGGATGAATATTTTCTTGGATCTCTAAAGAATGATATGAGGCAAAAGTATTAAACAACCACACAAAAAAAGGTGCAATGGCTTGAGAATTTATAGTAAAAGCTAATTATGTAGTCTAGGCCCATTAAAACTCTTTAAAATGTGTTGAAAAATCTACTCAAACTACAATTCTTTTTTCGCATAACTTGAGTGGCTTTTTGACACTCCTTAAACTTCAAATTGCATTCCCTTGATCATATGCGTTCTTCTTAAAATCTTGAACCCATTCAAGGACTATACTACCAACCAAATAACTCATTGATTTTTACAACTATTTTATAACAATCATTTTGTCTAAAAAATTGCCAACGCACTAATAACCAAAAATTGGGAACCTGATGGGTCATAAAAAAATAAGAGCCAGAAGAATGCAATTCACCAATTAATTAATTGATAAGTATTGTACAATTAATTAATTGGATTAATTAATTCATGAACCAAATTTAATTGATTGAATCGGGTTAAGTTTAAGAGATGGGTTAAGCCCATTTGAACTTTTATTAGTAGACTGCTACGGTTAGAAAATTTATATACACATCATTATTATTCTTACTAGCACAAGAAAAGAGAAGAAAACCATAATTCTCTCATTCTTGTTCCATGTGTGAATTTTCATTGGAAACTGGACATTGGACAGCGGTGGATTGCAGTTCGTAATTGTTTGTATCCCAAGATCAATAAAATGAGTTTGCATAATTTATCAAATGTATTATTTTAAACACAATTTCTATTTAAACACCAAGAAGATTTTTGATGGAAATTAAAATTTGTTTTATTTTTCACTATGCATGTTAAATAAATTCCTAACATAATTGCCATGCGAGGTGCTAACATCATCGATCAACTTTCCTTCAATTTACTCACGATGATGTTTCCGGATTATGGTGACTTTTGGCCGTTCTAACTAGATGTGACTTATTGTACCACCTCTCCTCGTAAATTAGCACTACTAATAATTAAACTTCGTTAACTGCTATGGAGTGAATCCGCATTCTTTTTAGTGGTGATCTTTGAGATCAGACACCAGCAAACATGTATTTATCTTAGTTTAAGAATCAAGTATGAACACGTTGAATGTTGATGGAAATACTATAGACTATCATGTTACTGTATTAATTTGTTTGTGGCAGCATTAATCACCCTCTATTTGTCTGTCGCTAGTGGCAATGCTTAAATTCATATTGGATAGAATTTGAGTGATTCATTGACAAGTATAGTCTTCGTCAAGACAAAATTAAAATCACAATAAACTATAAATGAGGTAATTAATTAATTAGTACCAAAGGTCAAGAAGTGAAACATTTTTTCAAATGAGCTTGCTGCTAAGTTTTTCATAACTGTCTTCCCTTAATGTTAAAAGTGAAAACTGACTCTTTTTTTGTTTAAATTCTCTTTATTAGTCAAGTATTTATATTTTATTCTTGTTAATAATAACCTTCTCCCTCTTCGATCTCACGGTATTATGCATTCCTTAGTCCTCAAAATGTTCTCTCTCTCTCTCTCTCTCTCTTTCTTTTTTTTTTTTGGAATAAATCGACAATTTTTCAATCTGAAATGGTATTTAATATTAGTTTTCAAATATAGAAATTCATTAAAAATGAGCAATAAAATGTCAAAGAAACCATCAATTGACCCTGTTTTAGCCCCATTTTTGTAAGAAAGGTTTTGAAATAGTGATTTTTTAAAGAATGTGTGATTAAAAAATAAGGAAAAATTTTTGATTTACATGTAGAGTTATTTTATAGGAAAGTGTAATTGAAAATGAATTTTTGAAAATGAATTTTGCTATTTGTACAGAAAAAACAGTCAGAAAAAGTGTTTGAAATAATGTGGAAGAAAAAATTGAATGATAAAGCTACCGTATTTTAAATTGACAAATGATAGTATTATGTGACATTATATAAGATATTATATAATCCTTGATGTACATGCAGCATTGCCTTTTGAAAAAAATGGGGGTCAAATATAGGCTAAATATTGACATTGTCCATATCCAATGTTCTTTGGTTCCTCCAAACGGTGTAATAAATGAGCAATTTAATTCTTGTAGAAATTTATCTAACAAAATAATTATTTTCTAGTAAGAAATATATTATGTTCAGTTGTTATTATTATTTTTATTTTAATGGAACACCCAAAATTTCTTCTACAATAATATTGAAAATGACTGTTCATACAATTTGAATGGTTGGGGCAGGTTAATTACAGTAACTGAACATACGAGATAAGGCTATCATGTACTAGCTCTTCACCCAACAGGGCCAGTGCCTGGGGATCGATGGTCGGCTGGCGATGGCATCTGTCCCTCGAGGATTCTATGGGAAGATTATATTTTCCTTTTTCTTTCCATTGGCATTTTTTTTTTTTTATGTTATTTTTATTTGATGTGAAGTACGAGTATAATATTTTTTTTAATTTAAAGAAAAAAGATCGACTTTTTAATTGACAAATTAACGAAAATCGTGCAACCAAAAAAAAAAAAGATTTGTCACTTAAACTTTAGATGGACGTTTGTGTTAAAAAAACGTTAAGATCAAAATCGTATAATGGCCATTAAGTTATGGGTGTTAATTACAATTAGCCGAGTTGGCTCGAGATCACCTATGGGGCAAGCCCAACACAAGCTACTACTCAATCAAAGTGTGGCTCAGCTACCCTTGATTGGTCGAGTTGAAATCTTATTATCACTCAGTATGACAAGCTCGCGAGTCAATTTCTATAAACCACTTGAAATTCGTAGTTGGTGAATCGTGTCGTAGCTTGTCCAACTTAACACCTCTTGATAAAGTATTTATTCATATTTCTCGTCTAACTTACTACTCGTAGGTAAAGTATTTATTATACATTTAAAATAAACAATAATTGAAAGTATGCTAACCATGAATAATCTCTAGTAATTAAAACTTAAAGTCAAGTCACCGAATATAGTTTCGTATGTACATAGTTGTGTTCACACGAGCAACTAACATATGGTTCCGTGTACGAGGGTGGTGTAATATTTCCTTCTATAAAAAACTATAAAAAGTGATTACCTAGAAAACATTAAATTTCTTAGATTAAATTTAAAAAAAAGATTATTATATTCAAATTTTATTCAATCTAATCACTACATTTTAATTTAATTAAATCTCGTAATTTTATTTAATTGTCACTTGAACTAATGACAGTCGATAATGTGACAGTTAATAAATGATGATAATCATTTACTTCACAATAAATGTAGTTATTTCATGTTGCAACTAATGGTTAATTATGATGACCATCAATTTTATATGACACGTGATCGAGTTTCATCAATTGAATTGAACTAGGTTATTTTAATTGAAATTAAATTAAAGTGTAGTCACTTATTGAAATTATATTAAAATTTAATTACTTGACTGAACAAAATTAAAGTAAAATTACATAACTGAGACTAGACTAAAAGTTTAATTGCCACTAATGAAATTTTACCCAATAAAAGCCTATACAAAATCATCTAATTCTCTATTCTAAAACTCAAAACTCATTAAAAAAACTCATTAAAATTTAGTGAGAACATAATTAAATGTCGAATATGACTAGTTCTTGGAGAAATGCCCACCTCTAAACCACATTTTGATTATAGTTAAATTCTTTAATTTCTATTCATCGTAACAATTATTTCCTTTGTTCATCGAATGCTCATGTTCAACCGTTCATTAATTAGTATGTCTCGTCTTGATGATAATTTATATCAAAATATTTTATTTTCAAACTTTGAGATGAGAGAAAAATATTTTTTCGCACTTTTATTTATTTTTTAAAAATATGATAAAAATAAGTTGTTTTACGTCATTTCAACGGACTTTTAAATATAAAACTGATATCAAATACAAAATATGTTAACTAGTGAAAAGTTTGAAAATAAAAATGACATGAAAAATCGTTAGGATATAGGTGATATAATGAGCAAAGAATAAAAACATTAAATTCAATTAAATTGTGTTGAAAGAAATAAAAATTGTGATGTTAATATAGTTATCCTTCCCATTTTAAGCAGGTGTTTCTCATTATATTACATATTTACCCCTACCATGTATATATATATATCAGTTATACTGAAGATCTATCTGTGCAATAACACAAAGATATACGTGTAACGACGTCGCAGAACAGCTATGATTAATGCAGCTGAATCTATGGTGGCTACGTTGAAAAGCTGTTTAACACCAACTGTCATCTTCTGCATCTTGAACCTCACCATTGCTATCATTTACATAACTTCATCCCTCAATAGACATCATATACTCGGTGATCACGAGGATAACTCTCGACCACAGCTCGTCCAAGTTCCACCACTTTTCGAACGAGTGGATTCGATCAACCTCCCAATCTACCGCTCCGAACAGCCCGACCGGTTTGACGATGCCACCGCCCCTCGAGAACCAACCCATCAGCAAAAGTATGAAGCTGAAAAGGAGGATGTGAAGCGCTGTTTATATGTGGAGGAGAATCACGTGACAAGGAGCACGTCTGAACCGTGCGTGAAAGCTCCGGTGAAAAGGGTGTTGAAGAAGTCAGCGAGCGAGAAGGTGTATGTGGCTGAACCGGAGGCAGAGGCGGATCGGCAGTGGCCTGCGACTGCGAGAGAGATGAAGAATTTGAGGGAAACTGTGTACTACGATGAGAACGAGGATGTGGATGCAAAAGCTGATGATTTTATTAACAGATTTAGGCAGCAGTTGAAATTACAGAGTGTGGACTCCATTTTGAGGTATAACGAAAAGTTCGATAGAGGGAGTTGAATAATATATTTTTCTGGGACACACATACCCTGCCTTGCCAGGGTTTCATGAGCCAAAGCTCATGGCTTGTTTAGTTATTTCGTGCTTGCTTGGTAGTGATTTTAAGTGTTTATATGTTGTGTTGGAAAATCATGAAACGTGGAGTATGTAAGTTCAAAAACAAATTAATGAAACAATAAACACATGAAATGGAGAAGATAGAAATCAATATAGAACCACAAAGGATAGAATGAACACTGAATTTAAATGCTTGACCATGTAATGTTGTCTTAAAGCGATATTAATTCCCACTTGTTCATGAGATGGCTTATAGGATACACCGGCAAATAGATCCAATGAGTAAACAAGCCTTGAAGTAACATCACCAAGTAAACAAAAAACCTCTAAGAACAATGAAGAATTCTGAATGTTTGGATGATTTGTAGTTTTTAAATGTATATGGATTTTCTATTATATTTTTCTACAAAAAACCATCTGTATATATAGATCAAACATCTCAAGTACGAATGGATGCAAAGTTTGATGAACCGACTAATCCAGAGATATTTTTGAAGGCCTTCAAAAAAGCTAGGATGCCCCGAAGTTGAAGCATAATCAAATTCTGCTTTCGGCTTGTCCACTATCGATCATCTAAAAATACAGGACGACCCCGAGTGGAGCGCTGCAACTTGCTTATTTTTCACTCATTTTATTTCTCCGCCTTTTCTGTCCATTCTAACACAGCCGTTGATGGTCAAAACCGAATCAAGAAATTCTCTCACTTTACTATGATTTTTCCTTCTAAGCTCTCTGGTTTCAATGCTCAAACTTGGAATAAGATGGAAAATAGCTATTTGAGAGGGAAATATTTGAATTGCATGCCTTAGCCCTTGTTTGAGCCACATTAAAATTTTCATTATCATTCTTCTACTCATTTTCAACCACATGTTTTTCAATAAAATAATATTTTTCATCACATCAATAAATTTTCCTTCTTTTTTAACCACACATTCTCCATCAATCTACTATTCCAAATAATGTGGCTCAAACACAACCTTCTTATTAAAAATGGGGTTATATATATATTTTTTTCTCCAAACTTTGGACATTTCGGTCATTTATGGAATATGACAGATGGAGAATCCATTTTAGTCGCCTTATAATTGATTATGGTATGAATATATGTCACGCCCCGTCCCAAACTCCCTACTAACTCAAGACGTGACGTGCGCCAATGATAAGTGCCAACTTGACACTGGACCCATCACAAAGGCAACTATAATTATACTTCGATAGAATGGCCTCCTTTCATTTCTATTTATATATTTTTTTGAAAATTTTGACAGAGTCTCCTTCAAATATGGAACCATACTAAATCTTGTAACCATAAAAATTTCCCAAACACTATAAAATCAGTCACACATCCACCCAAAATATTTGTATCACTAAACAGCACAACTGCTTCTCAAAAAGATAATAGTGACGCA